GAGGCGATCCATGGCTCCTGGACCAAAGCTATGTCGGCGGATCCTTGCTCCATGGCTATGAGAAGTTCCGCCGACGCGACCTTGCTCTTATGGAGGTTGAGCTGCAGCACCCTGAGTGTCATGGGTACTGGGTCAGGTCACCGTCCTCTCCTTCGTCGGACTCATCCAGAGTAATTTCCCGGTCGGCATCCTTGATGGTTTCCAGACCTTGGTCCTTCTCCACCACGCCTGCCTTCAAGGTGTGAGCATCCTTATCCCCGGGGTGGCGCTTTTTGAGGCGCAGGTATACGCTACCCATGCCCCACGCCATCTTCCCGTATCTGGGATAAAGGATATCCTCTGCCTCCTTGTTTATGGGGCCTCCTTGGGTGATGGGGCCGCAACGTGCAGAACCTTCCAGTCTGCGGTTGGGATATCCGGGTTCTGACGCTGCAGCAGCTTTAGCGCCCGGTCCGCTTGGATTGCAATGGGGAAGAGTACCTTCGCTATTGGAGTGGATGGGATTAGCTCCCGGTCCACCACCTCTAGCTTGGCTCCCTCCCACAGCGCCTCCAACTGGCAGACGGCTTGCGTCAGCCACTTTCTCGTCGGGTCATCCATGCACTTTAGGATTTTGACCCCATTTAGCCACCCAGCGCCATCGAAGGGCCACGATCAAGTGTCGTTTGGTCAACTCACTGACTTTTATGGTTTTTTTGGGCTTTTTCGCCATTTGGGGAGGGCCTGCCTCCTTAGGCCCGCGATGCCGCTTGCTCCCCGGTGCGTCCATAGAGGCGCTTTCGGTTGAGCGTTGCCTTTTGTTGGCAAGCGTCTCCTCCTTCTTGTTGGCGAATCCGCGAGTCGAACTCATGTGGGGGAGTTTGGCGAAGTGAAGCCTCCCCTCAGCGATTTTCTCCTTAGCCCAGGTAAGCTTTACCTTCTTCTCTGGGGATAGGGCGGCTTTTTCCTGGAGCCTATCCTGGATGCGGAGGGCAGCCTTGTACAGCGCCTTGGCCTTCATTCCCTCGCTTGACCGCTTTGGCCCGTCCCTGCGCTGGGAGCTGGTGCCTGTTTTCGATGAGTGGAGAAGCTGCACGCTCTCAAGGTCCGAGTCTGTATCGACTATGGCAAGTGAGCGGCTCAACTTCCCCTGCGTAGTTTTTTCGACATGACCTGCTCCCATCACATCCCAGCCCTGGTTTCCCTCCAGAGTGGTATCTTTTATGGGGGTAACGCCCACTTGCGTTTTATGCCTTCCGCCAGACACCTCCACCCATGGCTAACGGCTCACTTCCTTAGGCTTTTTAGGGCAGAAGGAGTTGAACCGTGGCCTTTGCTAGACACTGTATTAACGCGGACGGGGCAAGCAACAATGCAGTACCCGTGTCCGGGCTAATATAGTGGCCATTGCCCAGCCGGCACCCTCGGGGAGGGTTCAGATTGGAGGGTTAATTCTGTGCAAAAATTCCCATTTTCCAAAAAAATGTTGTGGCGAAACGGCTTAATTTAGCTTAATGAATTAAATACCATTTAATAGCACAGCATTTGAACAATTTTTGATAAATTTTGTATTAAAAAATATTTAGAGGTAGAGGAGTTATAGGGAATCTCACGAGTCGCCTCCAAATAAAGTTGGTTTGCGGTGTACATCCCAACTGTCCACAGAATCATCCGATCTAAAAAAAATTATACCTCATTCGGTAAAGGATAAGTGTCCCGAGGTATTCACGAAGCGATTTTTATTTTAATATTTTTCCCGATTTTTAAAAATTAAGTTAATTAGTTAAATAAAATAAATATAATAAAATTAAAAATTAAAAAAAGCATGACGTGAGTACCTGTAGAATTACCTAAAGAAGTTATGTTCAAAATTTCAAACCGATTGTTTCAGTAGATTTTGAGTTATCGTGTACACCGATTTTTAAAATGGCATTTTTCAGGAGAGCGCTTTAAACTTTGTGATTCTCATGCATTGAACACCAGACGACCTTCGTTCAACGCTGCATAACTTCGTCAATTCTCATATGATCGATGTAAAACTTGAACACAATAATCTTAAGATATTGAGCCTTTAAAATAAAAAATAAAATAAAAATGTAGGAAAAAAAAATTAAATACCTTACCCTCCCCCTTAAAGACGGCACGGATCACTTTGTCTTTTTAACTAGTCGAGTTAACCAGGATCCGCTTGAAAATATATTTGCGTGCGTTCGTGCAAAAGGTGGTAACTGTAGATTCAATTATATATAAGCCTGGCACTGAAAAAAAAGAAATACAGCAGCAAGAATATTCTGTATCATTTTCAGAAATTGTACAAGACAATGAGAGGTACTTTAACCAAAATACAGATAATTTTTTTTAGCAATAATGTACTAATTAAATTAACCTCCAGTAGATATTTCTTTGGATATATTGCAAAGGCATTCACTTGTAATAATTGCAGATTGTTTTTAGAGAACTTTTATTTCTTTGGCTGCAGCAATTGTTTTTTCTGGAGAATTACGCAATATTGAATATGGAGTAGGCCTATTGGGGAATAACACAATAAGCAAAACGCGCCAGAACCCAGCAGACAAAGAGCGGCCTCAGTGCGGATGGATCCGGGATATGTTCGCTAAAAATATTAAATACAGACAAAGAATCGGAGTTTCCGCATTAGGTTCGGGGAAAGCTCAAAAACGGACGCGCAAACGGACGAAAAGCACAACTGTGGCGTTCCTCGTAAATATGCCGCAAACGTATTCTTAACGGACACTGAAACGTACAGTGGGCTGCCAAATAGCGGTCTTACCGCAATAGGTTTGCCTAATTGTCGAAACCTGGCCCGAAAACGGATACTGAAACGGGCGAACACTGGGACCCGTGCAATTGCCGCAAAGGTCCCGCTAACGGACACTAAAACGGACCGCACACGTTAAAAATCTTGTCGTCAACGAAATTTCTTGAAACGGTGAACGGTTCTTCTCCTTCCTTCTTTTATCGCTTGCCTGTTTTTTGTTATTTCACTGCAAATGAGCGAGAGGCAAATACTCAATGGAGGGAGAGGAGTTATTACTACATCATCTTTCAACTCTTTTGGTTTGAGGAATTTATACCGTCGCGACTCTTTTCCTTGTGACCGGCGAGCTGTGCGGACGTGCGTGAACAGTTTTTTACAAGACGCACGTGTTTTCAACGGTAAGTGTTAAATTTTAATTTGATTAATATGTTCAATCTCTTACTAATCGTTTAATATTGACTAAATTTATATTTATTTATTTATATTTATTCGGGAATGCTGAACTTAAAAAATAAACATTTTACTTAATATTAGGTTTTTTTCCTTCAAACTAATAATACTTAATACTAATACAAACCGTCCTGTGCATACCCAGCAGGCAAAGAGCGGTCTCGGTGCGGATGGATCCGAGAAATGTCCGCTAAAAATATTAAATTCGAACAAAGAATCGGAGTTTCCGCATTAGGTTCGGGGAATGCTCAAAAATGGACGCGCAAACGGACGAAAAGCAAACCGTGTGGCGTTGCTCGTGAATATGCCGAAAACGTATTTCTAACGGACACTAAAACGTACAGTGGACGGATAAATAGCGGACTTACCGCAATAGGTTTGCCTAATTGTCGAAACCTGAGCCGAAAACGGATACTGAAACGGGCGAACACTGGGACCCGTGCAAATGCCGCAAACGTCCCGCTAACGGACACTAAAACGGACTGCACGCGTTAAAAATCTTGTCGTCAACGAAATTTCTAGAACTCGATGAACGGTTCTTCTCCTTCCTTTTTTTGTCGCTTGCCTGTTTTTTGTTATTTCGCTGCAAATGAGCGAGAGGCAAATATTATTGCATCATCTTTTAACTCTTTTGGTTTGTGGAATTTTTCCCGTTGCGACTCTTTTCCTTTTGACCGGCGAGTTGTGCGAACGTGAGTGAACAGTTTTTTACAAGAAGCACGTGTTTTCAACGGTAAGTGTTAAATTGATTAATATGTACAATCTCTTACTAATGAACTAATATTGACTAGATTTATATTTATTTATGCTGGCGAGACTTAATTTCCGACGAAGTGGCGCGCCAAGGGTCCTGGTTTGGGACAGAGTCCAAAATGTCCATTCGAGAGATGCTTATTACGTCATCCGTCAAAGGTATGTATATTTTTCGTATATTTTTTAATACTTATATACTTATAATAATTTATATTTTTACAGCCGCTTTCATAAACAAATTTGCGTTGGAGGACGCAGATTTCGACAGAGCGACACAAAAGCAGAATGCACAGGACGGTTTGTATTAGTATTAAGTATTATTAGTTTTAAGGAAATGAACAAATCTTAAGTAAAATGTTTATTTTTTAAGTTAAATAATGATAAATAATAAATAATGATAAACATAAATAAATGTATGTTTTATTTACATTTAAAAAACCCGAAATTGGAATGGAAATAGATATTAAAAATGTATCTGAAACGCATCGTCAAAAGGTCCGCAAACAGTACTTCCTGCGGTATTGCCACAGGTCAGCAAACGATCCTTTTTCGGGTATCGTAAAGGGGTTGCTATCGGTACTGTTTCCGGTCTCGCCACAGCGTCCGCAAACGCTATTAGTTCGTGTTCCGAAAATGAGAGGTTTTGGTGCCACAAAACCCAGGACAGGTAATTTACTTTGCTACCGATCTTGAGCCTAAAATCGGACGTTTTGTCCGCCTGCGGTCCGCAAAACTTCAGTTTTTAATATTTTTTACGGAGTTTTTGTCTGCTGGATACTGACTTTTGTGTCACTCTATCGAAATCTGCGTTCACCGATGTCTAGAAATTTTGCTGGCGACAAGATTTTTAGTGTCCGTTAGCGGGATATTTGCGGCAATTGCACGGGTCCCAGTGTTCGCCCGTGTCAGTATCCGTTTTCGGGCCAGGTTTCTTCAATTAGGCAAAGTCCGCTATTTGGCCGCCCACTGTACGTTTCAGTGTCCGTTAGCAATACGTATTCGGAACGCCACAGTTTGCGTGTCCGTTTTTGAGCATCCCCCGAACCTAATGCGGAAACTCCGATTCTTTGTCAGTATTTAATATTTTTAGCGGACATTTCTCGGATTCATTCGCACCGAGACCGCTCTTCGTCTGCTGGGATTCTTGTGTTTACTCATACACGCAAACTTTGATATTGATGGCCACCAAGCCTGAATTGTTACAATAGCCGCTGGAATCTTAAGAAAGTGTTTTCTATTAAATAACTCGTATTTTTACTCCAAAGAGTATATATAAATAACACTGGAATAAAACATACAACTTCTTATTTAAGCCAAGGGAAGATCCATAGTGACAGTTTTAGTCGAACTACTGACTATATGACTATTTTAATATTTCTGGCGCTTGTCTGCTACAATAAATTCATCATCCTCTACCATTTCTGAGTCACCACGTTTTCGATGAAAAGGAAGTGTAACGGTCTGTGCATAGTCTCCTGTTTCAGTATCGTGGTAAACAAGATAATTGGGTTCGATATACATGTTGGACCTAAAAAAATAAGATAAAGTTTAGCAGTTGATTATTAAAATGTCAATACGAAAAAATACTTACAATTTAAGCAAGTAAGGGTCAAATGGAAAAAATGTTTCGAGTGTTTCTTCCGACATGGCTTTGTCATGACCGTACACAGTGGCCAGTTTCCGACGGGCGTTACGTTCCAAAACCGTATGACAATAAGCCAATTGATGTGTTCGTGTAACCCCAGCAAAGGCCGTAGCAACTGGGGCTAGGCAGTATCGGAGAGGATTAAAGTGACACATGGCAAGACGGGAAAGTTGTAGAGATTGAAGGAAAAGCAAATCTTTTGTACATCTAGTCAAATCGCTGGCACGAAAGGCAATTAAATAGAAAATGCCTTGGCATACTGAGAAAAATACCATGTTCGCCTTGAGTGAACAATTCTGGCCGTATTCATCGGAGTCGTCTATGTAGGAATGTGCCCATTTACTTAACTCTTTAAGATAGAATGTTATAGTGCTGAAAAAAATCAAACTTATTTAGTACAATTCCTTGTAAACAACCATTGCTTACCTAAGTGGCAAAAACTTCGCGCGGGCTATAAAACTGGAAAGATACCCTACAGCAGTATGACGAATTATAGCTGACGCATTTGGATTTTTAACTTTGTTCCATAGCATTTGTAAAAAGCCATCCCAGTAATCCGATCGAATACCAGTCACTTGAAATATGACGAATTGCACATGATGGGTATTGTGGCTAGGAAGTAAAACTTCATCAAAAAGGTACAATAGTATCTTAAACACTCGATTTGCTGATTCGCGGCTTTGTTGGCAGCTATTTGGTTCAATGCGACATTTACCATCAATAAACTTATATAACATTAAAAGACATATATCTAGGGTACGACCGATAGGATGGTTTACTGATGGTTGTTGAGACCTGACATTATCTTCAATGCTGTCATGATCGTTAGTCTCAACGTCGATTTCATCTCGGGGGGCATTAACATCTAAGACTAAAAGCCTGAAAATATAGTAGATGAGGCTTAGCCGATTATATTTTCTGAAATTTAGAGATCACTTACTTTTGCAGAACCAGCTGCAAAATGAGTTCCTCAAATACCGGCTTGTATTCGATAAGCCAGAGAACGTTAAAGAGATAACCAGCCGTAACATGTGAAGGCTTCTTGAAGTATGGAAATTTTGCTGTTATTGCATCAATAACTACATCAAATGCCATCGGTACAGCTGTGAGGATTCGATTGAGCGCGTCATGAATTGGCTTTAAGTCCGTATGAGCGCGTTCCGATGGGTTACCATTAACCCATTCTGCTGAATCCAAGTCCCCGGGAATCCAGTGGATAATCAATTTGCATATTCCATTTGGTAAATACCGATTGTGCGCCACCATAACGTCAACGCAAAAATCTTTGTAAGCTTCGATAATTCCAAGACTTCGCTTCTTCCAGTTAAGGGACATCAATGCTTCGACAACGTTTATAAAATCTGGAGTCAAATGGTGAACTATTTTTCTGGCATCTGTTAAGACTTTCAACAACTCGTCATCGTCAAGATCTGATTCCCGAATAAAGTATGTGAACTCTTGGACAAGATGAAAATCTCCATCTTCCACTGCTATACGAATACATTCGACAAGACCTTTTTCCTTTGGAGTCGCAAACCGGACTTGGTTTGCGGCCGCAATCTTGGCTCGATCCCGATCGGCACCGGAAAATGGTTTTAAAATGGATGGCGCACCAGTTTTGTTTGTGTAGACCGACATGGTGTTTGCCGAAAGCACCACACAAATAACTAATTAAAAAAGAGATATTAGTATTTTATGTAAACTAGCAATGAGAATCCTTTATATCAGGAAATGATAAAAAGCATTTATTGACGTCATTACGCTATTCAAAATTATTTTTGTCTATTCGCATATGTTGCACTGAAATCACGCTATTTCCAAGTGTGACCAAGTTAAACAAGTGCTTAAAAGGGGAAATTAACGCTCTCTTATTACAATGCATTCACACCATGAATAATTTTTAATCGTTCTGTATCAGAATGATTGTACATTTTTAATGCCCAAACAGCTGGCTAAATGTTTTTTTTAATAGTTTGCATATAGGCGCAATAGGTTCAAATTATATGCAGCAATCGTTTATTTAATTTATTTATTTAGAATAAGGGGCATCTAAACTCAATTTGTACTTCTCTATTTACCTAATAATATAAACAAAAATTTATTTAATATAACAGTATTGTAGCTGCCTTTTACAATATTAGTGGTCTCCTATGCGTTAACTAAGTATTTAATAGGGTCTTCCCACACACGGTCAAAGCGCATTCACCGTCCATTGAACAAACGGTCCATACGGTTTTGCCGTTCCGAATTTTCCCAAATGGACCGCCGTTAGAACACATTAATATCTAAACACTGTTTGTTTGGCGATAGTTAGGCGATAGTTTTTCAGTGCAACTCTGAAAATTTGACCATCACTACGAAAGTGTATACAAACTTGGCGAGGAACAAATGAGATATGTAATTTAAAATGTGGCGCCAAAGCTACAAGCATTCCCAAAATAGATGTTGGGGTTTTTTCTGTATATTTTTGCCCCAATATGTCCCCAATTGTTACTATTTAATATAAACCGCCTGCCTCTACCTTATTTTAAAGATTTTGGATGCCTATACCACTTATAGACACTCTTCGGGGAATTTGCTCTTTGTTATATGCAACTGCCAATTCGACAGTCTTTGTTTACGTTTTCATGAGCCACAGCTGATCGGTTTGTGTGAACCCGAGTTTCACTTTTTTTTTAAATCCCAACTGTTCCTCACAGATGCGCTGTGTGGGAAGACTGCATAAGACTGTTTTACAAAGCGCCATGTCTAAATACATTTTCGGCCAATAATGCCTTGCATAACTCGGTTCCATTATCTCCCGCACTCACTTACCCAGCGGACTCAGCATTTCGGTTTTAAATTTCCGAATTATCAGAGATGAACGCGAATCTCGGTCTGTCCACTAATCTATCCCTGTTTCTCTCTCGCTCTAGTGGCAACACAGTTTCCTCTTTGAACGACTAACACGCGGGCAGCAAATAATCGTTCTTTTTTTCGAGCAAACGCTACGAAAAGGCTGGTTGTCAAATTTATATCCTGCAATTACAGCACTGCACGCTGCGTTCGGGGCCATATTAAAATAATTAATAAATAAATAATTTATTTATTTATAATAAAGAATAAGTAATTATAAATGAATAATTAAAGGTCCTTTGCTATAAATAATATTATTAATGTTTCGATCATCGATATACGTCAGTACATCAGTATCGCGAAAAGCTAGCTAGGTTTGATTGTAATTCTAGTCCGAAGCTTTGTGTGAAACATTTTAAGTGAAATTGTGAAGGCAGTCAAAAATATATATTGCTCGCTTATTTCTCATGATGTAATTGTAACGATTGAGTATATCACTGTAATTCCTGCGTGTCACACTAACACAAAATCGATACATTCAATGTGTGCAGCCAAATACCCAAATAAAAACATAATCAAAATTTTCGAGAAACCGATAGGTTAACTTTTCGTCGGTCTGAGTACATCACTTAATCGTGTACATATAAACATAATATTTGTTTCCAAAGCAGTAAGAACATGACATTTAATTTGTATGATAATTGCCTTCATGGCAAGCTGGCAGTACTATCAGCTGTTTCTGCTGTTAAAAATATTCCAAATTAAAAAATGTTACAATATGATAAAAAACTTGTCTTTTAAACCATACTAAATATTCTTCCAAAATGACCGAACTTTTGCCAACTTGTGTAAGTCAACGTTCGTATGAAATTATCTCCATTTAGCTAATGCGCATCCTTATTTTATGTGAAGGACTCCGGCACAGAGCATAAAGATGAAGAAGAAATTGAACCAAAATTTAAGTACCAACGCATTGCCAACGATTTAAAAAATATACTAAACACCGATGTTGTGACTGCGACAGCTGTGCATCCGAAGGTAGAAATGTGCAAATCAAAATTAAATCTTCCTAACAAATTATTTAGTTTATTGTTTTTGGAACATTCCGAGGCCGCGTCTATTTATTGGATCACCAGGGCAACTCAGTTGATTCGAATCTAAGCACCGGCGAAAGCCAAACACATCAGGTGGCAGTCAATCAGATTGATGTGGATCCGAAGGGCGAGTATGTGGCCACATGCTCAGATGACGGAAAAGTGAGTCAATAGATTTAAAACGGTCATCACGACATTCATTAATACACATTATATACATATATGTATATCATAGGTCAAAATTACTGGCTTGTTTAGCTGTGAAAACAATCACAGCCTAAGTTTCGGCAAATGCATAAAAGCTGTAGCCTTGGAACCAGATCCAAAGTCTCGGACTCGAAAATTTATAGTAGGCGATGACAAGCTAATTTTATACGAGCGAAATCTCCTTAACAAGCTAAAGCCAACCGAACTTTGCGCTGTTGAAGGCAAAGTGTTGTCCATTTGCTGGCAGGATAACTTTGTAGCCTGGGCAAGTCATTTAGGTGTACGTGTCTACGATTTGAACGAGAAGTGCTCGCTTGGGCTAATGAAATGGGAACTGCCATCACAGGGAAAGCGTCTTGAGAACTTTCGATGTCACTTGCGCTGGTCAAATAAACATACTCTTCTTATTGGTTGGGTAGACACCATAAGGATTTGTGCTATTCGGAGAAGAAATTCAATCGAGGCCGCATCTAGTAATCTTCCCGACTATATTGTAGATCCAGGTATGTAAAATTCATAATAAAATCGATATATATTTATTGTATCCATTGCAGTCTCAACATTTCAAACTTCATTTTATATCTGTGGGTTAGCCCCAATGGCCTCAAGTCAACTAGTGGTACTTGGCTATCGTAAAGAAAAAAGCGCCAACTTTAAAGCCTTACGCCCCGTGCTGTGTGTGATTGAACACAAAATGAACACTAGCGAAGAGATATGCACAGATAGCCTAACTCTACGTGGCTTCGAGGAGTATACAGTAAACGACTATTATCTGGGCTGCATAATTGAAGAGAATCGCTATTACATCGTTTCCCCCAAGGACATTGTGGTGGCTAGCCTTATTGAAACAGACGATCGTGTCGACTGGTTAATTAAACACAGGTCAGACAAGCTAAAATAATTTCTATTAAGCATTAGTATCCTGGCTATTCCACTAAGTTGTCGCAACATTGATCAGCTACTTTCATCCAGTCGTAGTAATATTCGGGCAAGGAGCTCGGACTAGTGTCTGTACTGCATAGTTTTCCGTCGTTAATTTTCTTCATCCTTTCCTGACTGCATTTATGCAAAACCAAGTGATATGGTTTGCATTTGCGGGATATGTAGGCGGTATCGAATCTAGGATCGTGCCATCGATATATGTGACGGAACGGAGCTAGCCACGTTCCGACTGAAACGTCCTCAGAGGCGTAGGGGGAAAGCATATGCGAACTATTTGCTATATATTCACACAGTTTTCGGGATAAAACATATCCACCACCTAGGGCATATGGCAGATAGTTTTTGCTTAGATAATAATTCGATTCCTTCCAGCGACCTTTCGTTTTGATTTTTGACCTACCACTAAAGTAGCCCCAATAGAGTTGAGGCAGGGGATCGTTACCATACTCAACTGCATTGCGCAGGAGCTTGCGGTCATAGGAGACCAGCTCGTTCAGTAAACTATCCAGCTTAACGTAAGTGTCGTCATCCACCTTGATTAGATAGGAAAATTCGTAGCGCTGTGTCAATGTATCTAGAGATTGAAGTAGCTTCTCTGTGAGATTATGGTATGTCTCTGGGTGCTTTTGGAGTAGTAAGAGGTCGTTGTGCTGCATATGTTCATTCTGAAGTTCCGCGTGCAGGTCCCTGCTCATCTGGCCAGTTCCAATGGCAAAGAAATGTTTGACCCTTATCCCGCGCTGCGTTTTTCTTGAACTCCTTGTTGAAATGCTGCCTTGCCAGTTAATATACTGTCGTAGTCTTTTCCTCTGCGACTCAACACGTTCCGCCATTAGGTGACCATTGGCATAATAGGTGGGAAGATATATCTGTTCTTCTGGGAAATATGGTAGGGCGAGAGGCTGCTCGACATATCGGAGCCAGGTACTCCGCATCGTGTTTCTGTGGTCCACATTTCGCGGGCTACTTAGCACCAGAACGATAAGAAACAAATCAGGATGATGCTCGAGCTGGGCTCCAACTCCACTTCGATGTGTTGGGCATTTGTCCACTGTACTGAGTATCTTTGTGATGAAGCTTCCAAAAAAAAATGCACTAGCGGCAGTGAAAAGAGTCACCAAATTATTCATACGCCTCATCATTTAATATTTTCTACGAAAATGAGCCCATACTAAGAACTTAATGTTACCAGATTTGGTTACATGTATCTTAATGTTTTTCGCCTAACGCCACTTCTGTTTCCACTTGGGTTGCATTTCCTATTCTGCATTTTATGCAAAATTCAGCTTTTTTCCCTATGTAATAGTGTTATTACACGTACTCGTACTTGCATGAACTCCCAAGAACTGCAGCAGCTACTTCTGTTTTAATAAGAAACACATGTGATCAAAATATACTAGATTTCAAATTTGGAGCGATAACAAAATACTGCTCTAATGAAGAAAATTGTATATTAGCCAGTGCATTATACTGTCTTTCCACTCAGTCCATCTGTGTGAAACAGTTGGGATTTTTTGCAGATGTGAAACTTTTTCCCACAGAGCTACATCTGCATCCGACATCCGATTACAGCTGATCGATCAGCTGTGCCACATATAAAACGTAAACAAAGATGACTGAAGTCGCTGATGTGAGAGTGAAATTAATAGTTTATCAACTATTTAGGCTGTTTAACAACAGCAAAATCACAGGATTGAGTCAGATTTTATCCGCACTAAATTAAAATGAATTTGAGTTTCTCTAATGATTTCTTCGTAACCAAGAGAAATAAACCAAAGTGTGTGTGGTATATGATTCCTTATTATATCAAACGGATTTTATTTTCCCTAGGTCTTACCTGAGGTTGCTAACATAAAATTAAAATTTTTTTTTGTTTTATTAGGGCCAAGCATTATGCATTCCCATCGAGGAGAAACCATTTCTAGTTTTCTAGTTTCGTTGGGTTATATATGTACAGATATTCAGACCAATGCTATATATCAGGGATCGTTACAGTTATAATTTTTATAATACAAATTATGAAATAAGAGTTATTTTACAATTATATAGAAAAAATAGGAAATTAATTCTTATTATTCAAGTTTTATAAAAAAGTTGTAGAATAATTATTATTTTTCAATTTGTAAATAAAAGTTGAGTTATAACAATTATTTGCAATTTTTAAAATAATAATTGAAAATTAAAATTATTCTCCAATTTTTATATTAAAAATTGAAAATAATAGTCACGTGTCAATTTTTATTTTAAAAATTGAAAATAAAAATTGAATCGCAATAACTTTTAAACGGAGCAGTATACCTTAAAATTGGCATATATAATTAATCCACGCTTCAATACCTGTATATATTATGGTTATATATATAATATATATCTATATATGTATATATAAATGGAGACAAAAAATGTTACTAATCACATCACAAGAGAACGGCTGGGGCGATTGGGCTCAAAGTTTTTTTTTTCAGTTTGTAATTGCCAGAAGAAATTTACTACATAATAAAATTTTGGGAAAACCTTCTGGAAAAGTCTCTAGCGGCTCAAGAGAAGTACACACTTTTGTATGTCAAATTCTGAAACACCATACAAAGATCATAGCTGCGTTGATATTGTGTATCAATGCAATCGGTCAACAAAATATTTAAGGGGGGACATCTGAGTAACTTTTTTTAAAAATAGAAAAATTTTTTTTTTGCTTAAAAAATACTTTAGGGTCTTAAAAATAACATATCAAAAGATAGAGTCCGGCAAAAGTTTCTAAGTGTCGAAATTTTCCATTCTGCGGCGATGCCTCACATGTAATCATATACGATTTTAAAACTTTAATCGCGTTTTTCTCAAAACCACTTTTTTTGAGTTGGCCGAAAACATAACTCGAACAAATCTTAACCGATCGATCTGAAATTTTGACAGTATATCCAAAATACCTATGGCTATCGACGTACGTAGGATTTTTTTTTTTTTTTCTTACTTTTTTTTATCAACAATTTTGTGACGTTTTTTTTTTCATGAAAATTGAACATTTTATTTAATCACTCACCATTTTGCAAAAAATCAAAATATCGAAAAAATCCTACGTACGTCGATAGCGGTTGAGATATAGAAACTAACAAAATTTGATTTTTTGTTCTAGGTCAAAAACTAAGGACGTTAGGTTTTCGGCCATGGACCCCTTTCAAAAAAATAGGGCCTACGAAGACATGCTGCACAGCCGCCATTTTGTTTTCGATTTATTAACAAACAAATTTATTTTGTAGTTCACATCTAACATTATCAAACCTACTTTAAAATTTTTCGATTGGCTTTTTCATTTGGCCAAAAAAAATTCTAGAAAATGGGCTTTTTTTGCCAGTTACTCAGATGTCCCCCCTTAAACAAAAAATTGAATTACCAAAGTGAGCTTAAGCAATTGGAAATAATGCCTCCTGTTACATGATCAAGACTTGGGCGGCGTTCACGCAATGCAATAAGTTATCAGAATTTCCGTAATAGTCGGACGCAAGAGAAAGTACAGAAATAAATGCATCGATACGTGCCCAAATGGCACAGCTTCGCGCTGCACAAAGACCACCTCAGGCCCGACAAAATAATAGAGAAAGACGAACCGCAAATAAAAACCTGAATCGCTCTGCATTTGCATACAGTTCTGAAACAACCTACAAAAATCTTAGCTGCGTTGTTATTGGTTCATTGTCTGTCGTATGTCAGCATTGCAGTGGACTGAAGTTTCGGTTGGAAACCCCCGCCTTATGCTGTGCCCCTTTTTTTCTCATCCACCATAGCCATTGCATTCGCTACTATATGGAAATTCAGCCCAATCAAAGAGCTTCCTAAAGCTTGCACAAAAATATAACGGATGCTTTCAAATGACGACATTTAGAGCCGAAGTTGTTCACCAATCAGGCTACAATCCAAGTTATAAGGTAATGCGTTTCTTTATTATCAAAATGAACAACTCACATTTTTTCGAAATTGCATCCCAACATTCAGATTCAAGGGCAAATTTACCACCGAGCGGGCGCTTTGTTACCACCACAAAACAAAGATCTTAAATTCCTTCAGATCTATTTCATTGGTAATTAACCGCTACTAAACGTGAAATTATCGAACAAGTGCAAAATCTTCTCCATGAGCATAATGAATTGGTCAGATTGTTCAAAACCGCATTGGATATAATGCATTATGACGACCACAAAATCATTATCAGCGCTGACAAAAGACCCACTGGTAGCCATGCAAGACAATTTAATGTTTCCACTATCAATGAAGTCGCAGTGGTGATTGTTGGCGATAATGTGGAATCTCGCGATATTGTTCTGAAGCGTCGGGATAATGGCCAATTGCAGCGAGTTTATGAGACTCATCGGTCATATGATGCTCTTCAATACCCGTTGATGTTCTGTCGTGGAGAAGATGGGTATCACTTCAACATAAAGATGGTCAATCCAACGACAGGTTTTCTTACAAATCAATTTCATTCGTTTTAATCAGTCGAAGTTGCGCTCAGACGAGTACATCCTCTTGCGTGACGCCATCGCTACTGAAGGACACGCGCCCAACATCGTTTGTTTGACCATTCTCCCAACTTCTTATGTTGAAAGCCCGCGCCATATGCATGAGTAAGCTCAAGATGCGATGACGTATGTCCGGAATTGCGGGCTCCCGGATTTATTCATCACGTTCACATGCAATCCGAGATTATGCAACGGTATGTGGTTGTCCGTTAAGAAACTAATGAACAACGTGATTCAAGCAACGATCATCAAGGGCAAATTTAAAGGAGAGGAAGTTTTTATCCCACGAATTCCGATTATTCCAACAGATCTTCCATTCCAATTCAAGTTGATTCAGTTCCCAGTTCGATTGGCATTTGCCATGACAATCAATAAATCGCAAGGCCAATCGTTGAAAGTCTGCGGGATAAATCTGGAATATCAATGTTTTTAACATGGGCAGTTATACGTAGCCTGTTCGCGTGTGGGAAAGCCGTCATCATTATTTATTTTTGCACCGGATAACAAATCAAAAAATTTTGTTTATCACATCGCTCTCCACTGATTTCGAGTCAAAAAATTTCACAACAAATTTAAACTACCAGTGTTCTACTTCTACTCTGGGGTTATATGAAGTCGTGAAATTGGGGCGTTAGAAATTGGGGACATTTTGGGATGAGAATTTATTCAGGAAAACACCAACGAGCGTGCTTTTAGGTCTAGCGCCACATTTTAAATTCCATATTTTAATTGTTCCTCGCCATCTTTGTTTACACTGTTTATAAGAAGAAATCACAGCTGCACATAAAAACTGTCGCCTAATCATCGCCAACAGAAGTGCTTCTAATTTTGTTGCACAACAGATGCGAGAAAACTTTATAGCTCATCCGATCAAGGTATGGAAGGTGCAGATGTAGATCAGTGGAATGACTCTGTAGACCGTGGCTTGTTACTGTACAGTATTTAGTATTTTTAGCATTTTAAGTTCTCATTTTGTTGTTGCCATTTCTTAACAATGGACTAATAAAGACAGCTGCAGCTCAGCCGAGAGCGCCTGTATGGACGAACCGGAGAGCAAACGGCAACACGGGCCTAAGGAGGCAGGCCCTCCCCAAATGGCGAAAAAACCCAAAAGCCAAGCTGGAGGTGGTGGACCGGAAGTTAAACTCATCCATTCCAAAGGCAAAGGTACTCTTCCCCATCGCAAACCAAACGGACCGGATTCTGAAGCTTCTGCAGCGTCAGAATCCGGATATACCAACCGCGGACTGGAAGGTTCTGCACGTTGCGAGAAAGTGCAGTCCTCCAGATAAACAAGGAGGCAGAAGACATTCTCTATCGCAGATACGGGAAAATGGCGTGGGGCATGGGTAGCGTATACCTGCGCCTCAAAAAGCGCCATCCCGGGGATAAGGATGCTAACACCCTGAAGGCATGCGTGGTAGAGAAGGACCTAGGTCTGGAAACCATCGTGGATGGGAATGACGCTGGATGAGTCCGAAAAAGAAGAGGACGGCGACCTGACCGTAGTAGTCAACCCGTCGTATGAAGGTGAGCCCAGTACCCAAGGCACTCAGGGGGCTGCAGCTCAACCTCCATAAGATTCCTGCTACATGGCACACGACAGGACATGAGCCTGGTAGAAGCCAGCCCGAAGGACCAGCAAGTGCTCGTGGGTACAGACGCCAACGCGCACCACTGCGTATGGGGGAGCCCCGACATAAACGACAGAGGTGAGTTCCTCTTAGACTTTATACTCTCAACCAACCTGAGTATAGCAAACGTGGGGGAGGAACACA